CTGTACGGGACCATCCCGTCCTCCCATCGCAATCCATGGTGATAGGCACTCAACCAGGAAGCGCAGGACCTGTCAGATCTTGCCAAAAATTTCCGTGGCACGGGATTCGTAAAAATGTAATGCGTGAGAATGGTCCCCTGTTTCAGCACCGCCACTTCCTTCACGATAAATTTCTTGTTAACGATGAATCCTTGCAGATCCACGAATGTTGGCACGGACATGTTGTCGAGAAAACTGCGATCGATTGCGGCGTATCGTAGATTTTAAATCGTGTCGGAGGATGCGCTTAGGTGATTTTGCGCACAACATTGGTCAATGGATTATACTGAACCATGCGATCGTGTATGATGAGACAATAGGCTGTCGTATTCGCAGGCACGTTCTCCTTACATTCAAAGACCGCACGTCGACGGTGCCACTCTTGCTCGATTCGTTCTGTCGAGAGCAATCGATGATCACGAACGGACCATTACGTACAAAAGTCGTAAAGATGAGATTCGGCTCGAGATACTCGTATCCATAGTAGCCCTTGCAAAAACGCGCGTACATGTCGTACAAAATCGTACATCTGTTTTTATCGAAATCCAGATTCAAGTCATCGTACGGATAACATTCTGAGTTCAGGTAGAGTTTCGCGTTGGTTAACTTGCAGTCGTCGAAACGACTTGTATCCTCGGACATGATGTTTTTTCGACCTGTTTGCAAAGCGAAGATGACGTAGCGCGGCTTTTCGAGCTGAGTAGCAGTCTTGATGGCCCACGAATGCTTGGTTGTGCTCTGCAAGAGCGGAAACTCGTACATATCCCACGAGCGAAAAGCCATGCTCAGATATCGTCCGCTCTCCAGAGCGCGGAGCATCCGCTTATTTATCTCGCTCAATAATACGTGCGGCATTCGCCACTGTATTTTCAATAATTCGAGTATCGGCTCTGTCGCAGGATCTCCCGTCAGGCAATTGTTGTCGTTGCGCGCTCGTATTAAAATCAACTCATGACGAGCGTTGATCACCACGCGCCTGTAATCTTTGCAGAATCCTAGCAGTACGTAGAGCGGTACACAGAAATTAAAGTATCCGGACGCAGTAGTCTGCGCGTCCTAGCCGGCATTCCGCAGAATCACGCTTCTGTCGGACGACACTGTTACATAGTTTTTGAGCGTGCTAGTTATGTCAACGTTTCTGTTACGGTCAATCTCCACACCGTTGAGTTCATATCGAATCTCGTCGAACATGAATGCGACGCAATTATTTCCCAATGCCACGTTAGCGCCCTCGACCACTCTGTTCTTCGTCAGTTTTCCCTCGACGTATAGAAAGCTTTCGAACGGCAGTGTATACAGATCCTGTTGCTGTACGGGTATTCTTATCTCGTCGCTGTACCCGAACGTTGTATTGGCGAACGGGTTGTACGTGTAAGTCTCAATCTTGATGATGCGATCGTCGAAGATCGGCTCAGTTTTAATGTTTAGGATATCAGTCATCTCAAATGTTGCGCACTGCGAATCCCAAAGATTGTAAAAATGTAACGTTCGACGCGCTGAGCTTCTTCCTGATGGAGCGAGTGTTATCGAGCTGTGACGTCACAGGCCTTGTAAAGAATGCGTTATCTCTCTGCGTGCGCTCCGTTCCGTTCAATATAAGCATCTCACGCTCACGTTATCACTGCTGTCGTCGTACGTGCAATCTAACGGTGATCTTTTCTCCTCGAAAATCGAGCAAACGTCCGTTCTGGTCGACGACGCGTACCGTTAGATCCGTAATGCTCCGTGCGATGATCGGCAGGTAAATGATCTGCGCCGGTCGTTCCGATATCTTATATCCTGGCGGCACGCTCGGTGAAAATTCGTGTATAGTGTGCAGGCTTTTGCCGTTGCTGTACGCGCCCGCGGTCACGTTACACTCTACGCGGATAACGTTTACGTTCATTATGTTGATCGACATGTCCGATTCGTGCCATCTTCGCGACCGCAGTACACGTTTCGACGAGAATCCCAGCAGCGATCCAATGCTGTTTGACCTGTCAAAGTTTATTCTGTATGCACATCTAATCTCGCATCTCATCGTGTTGTAGTTTGCGCGAAGCGTAATCGGGTATTCTCCACCGTCGTCATCGTTGTTGTTGCTGCTATTGTTATTGTTGTTGTTGTTGTTGTTGTTGTTGTTGTTGTTGTTGTCACCACGCACTACGTCAACGGTTTCAAGCGCGTTACGGCGCGGACGTTTTCGTAAAATCGTGCGTTTCAAAAATTCACTTATGTCTCGCACTTCGTACGAACCTTTGGGAATTGTAATTTCCGCGTCGTCTTTGGCGAAGTAAAATTTATTGTTCGATTCGTTCACATTCGGTATCGTGTGATAAGTCTCAAAAATCGCCAGACCGAGCTCGTAATCGCCGTCACTCAAATCTATGGCGGGAAAGTAGTTCGCCGCGAGGATGCTGCTCTTCCCACTCTGCGTAAGCGTCAGCGACATGATCGGAAAAGCGTTAAACCAGTACTGAGATTTCACAGCACCTCGTCGAGCTTTTTAAATTCACGCGCATCGACCGTTTGCAGAAACCGTAGGCACTTATGTCCGCAGAAGCTCTGGTCGTACGTCTGACAGGACGTGCGATTGTACTCTATCGTCGTAGCACCGTTCCCGAAATATCGCACCAGTTCCTTGGGCGGTCGAAGATTATCGAAACTGTCAAAGTACACGACGCGATTGTTCCTCTTCGCGTACGCTACTCAGTGTGTACCGGGCCCTGTCGCATCGTCCAGATTCACGATACCGCTTTCGTTTCGGCGCGCGCCGCTCATCGGTAACGCGTTACGCATGAAAACGCCTCTAAAGTACGGTACACGCATACGTCTCGCGAGCTCGTTCAATTGTACATCAATAGTTGCGCCAGACGGCATTTTTATCGTCTCTGACGTTTTTTTTTTCTTCGCAGCTACGCCCTGTCCGCGTTTGTACGGACCGAGATACAGTCCGCGTCAGTATTTGTACGGAGCGAGATACAGTCCGCGGCCCAGTTCCATCGCACGATCGTGACTTTGCAGCTCTTCGAGCTGGCATCGCGCCGCTTTGCTGTCGTTCACCGCTTTCGCCACGCCGGCCGCTCCGCCGATCAAGGACCCGAACGCGCCCAGCATTGGCAGAAATGGTAACGCGCCGCCACGTTTCGCAGTCGGAAGTATCCGCTTTTTCGTAGCCTTTTTCCTCGTCGTCTTCTTCGGTTTCATGCCCATGCCGATCTTGGTCTTGGCTTTCATCGTTGCCCAGATG